ACTCAGAGAAAGAAGACGAGTGAATAGGTTAGCTCATAGTAGCTGAATTTCGAGTAATTACTTGAGATAAGATGGATGTAGAGGATTTCATTTCGTTTGAATGTGCATGACTTAGTGTTAACTTGAATGTATGCAGGAATGAGCTACAGCTCTTATTATGACCTTCATATAAAAGACGAAAGCTTAGACCAGTTTTGCCCGAAACAAGGGAGGATATCTTGTGGGCTGCGTCAGCCTGAATGTCGTATTAAGGCCAAAAGGCAGCAAAACAACGGAAATCAGCAATCATCTCTACGTAAGATCAACTAACGAATCACTTTTATGTGAAATGAAAGTCTTCACAACAATATATGAAGTGAATCATGCATAAAATGTTCGCATTATTCGACACGCAAAAAATAGATAGCAAATACCTACCCTTCATCTTTCAAAATTTCGCATTAAAAGTTTTAATAAAACGAGATTAAAAGAGAAAATTGGCGAATAGACAAAAATATAAATATATGGAGAGAAAGCGAGTATCGAAAAGTCCCTTGCTAAAGTAGCGTTATCATACATTTGAGATGCGGATGGAAAGGATTCGCAAATTGACCCCATTATAAGCCATATTAAAGACTGTGGGTTTGTGTAAATAATTCATTGGCACATTGCATTGCGAATTCGACGAATCTGTGCAAAGATTTTGCCTGACATGCAGCAGAAATTATCAGTTTGAAACTCCGGCTGAAATCCGAGTCGCTTTTTATAGGAAATTGAGTAAGAACTTCATGTGTCCTAGGAAGAGGGAGTAATAGGTACTGCCGAGGAAAAGAAGAAAGGCATGATTAGCTTCGAACCTCACGTTAGTTATGAAGTATGAGTATTGCATATAAACCACAGACTCAAACCAGAAACGGATTAATATGAGATGAAAGTAATTAAGTGAATGAGTGAGTCCTGGAGAGTAAAGTAATTAGTATAGGACGTATGGACAACTGGAAGCTATAAAGTTTTGCGTGTAGACTGTACAAAGACAAGAGAGATTTAAAGAAATGTGCTACAATATGTTTGTTGTCATTCTCGATGAGTAAATACCTTAGATAAAGGATTTATTAGTGTTATAAATCCATACAGTAATTTTATATGACTCATAGAAAGAAGCTTATTGTCATTGGATTTATAAAATAATGAGCTAATTACGATATATATTTTTGTCTGTTGATCTGATCCTATAGCTCATCAACTAATTCTCTCTACCAAAATCATAAGCTCACGTTTAAATAGACGAACAATACAAGCATTTATGTTAAGTAAATATAAGCACTGCAAAAAAGTCCTGATAGTCGATTGAATTTAACATAAAATAAGGGACAACTTAATTTTCTTCGCCTCCTCACTGCAATACAATCAATCACATTACTTAATAAACTAAAGGCTGAAAGTAAAAACTACTCAATTTAGAGCAGCGATAATATCAGTTGTTTATCACAGCTACGGTTAGGGCACGATCCCAAAGGGAGTATGGAAAATATATAAAGACTATGCCTTGCTTGTCATACGCTATAAATCAGGATTAAGACGAAGTAAATATAATTGGATTAGCTTACTATAAAGGCATATATATTACAGATTTGTGCCCAGCAGACAAAATGCATGCATGCATCCAAAAATTTCTTATGGGGGTTTAAAAATAAAATAAAAATTCATACAAAGTACTATAGCAACATCGCCTTAAGCGCCAAGGAGAAAAATACTTCCTCCAGTTTTTAAAAAAATGTGTAAATGCGCAGTATACAATCGTAAAGCCGGTGCAGATCTAAACAGCTATGTAGAAACGAAAGAGGGAATAAAACAATAATAAGTGTCAAAATAGAGTGTTTAAATATGCTTTTAAAAAAGATATTAGGATTAACTGCTTTACTAGTCTAATTATCGCCAATAGCGAAAAACGTTAAATATCCCCAAAAAGCAAGAAGCTTGAAATATAAAAGCTGTTGGTATTTCCTATTTAGATAATACAAACTTAAAAAAAATATGAGCAAAAAAACAGTCTGATCATTAGAATGGCTTGGATATTTGAAAAAATGGTGGCTTATCTTAGCGGCTGGACTTTAGTCGAGTTACCGTAAATTCTATTAAATAGCTTTGTTACTCGAGCTACATGCCTTAAGTGGCAGAGCGTCCACATGGACTACAAGTCTGTCTATTCATGTACAGAGATATGCCCATCTAAAAATATAGATATATTGGACACTGAGGAGCAAAATCCTTAGTCTAAAAAAAGCTGAGTAAACGCAAAAGATGCACCCATACAAAGATGTTCATCATGTCTCTTGTGGACAATTAAAAGAGAAAAGCACTTACCAGTTATAGGCTTTGTGCATTTGGTGCATTTTTTGGCGAAGAGTTCACCATAGCAATCGGCACAGTAAGGTCGCTCATCCTTTGATGTGAATTTTAGTCCAGCCAGTTGTTTAGAGCAGTTGCTACATGTGAAGCATTCCTTGTGCCAAGGATTCCCCTTGTAAGTGACACCGCCACGTCGAATCACCTGAACACAGGTAGAAATGATCATGAGTTAAATTCATTCACCAAGCCTCTAGCCATGAGCGATAGGAGAGAAATAAACCCGCTCATTCCTAAACATAAAAATGAGCTCTTATTAGTCAGTCTTTAGCAGGATAATCTCATAAGTTACTAAGGCAAACAACAGCTGATGACTGCGGCCAGCTGATTAGTAAATAAACAAGGTTTCTTTACCTAGTAAGCTAAATAAAAAACGAAAAACTGAGCGAAATTCTCAGCCAAGACAAATTATGTAATACTAGATCTTGAAATGAGCACAGATGCTCTGGAGGTAAGTGAACCGGCATCTCATGCGTAAGCTGGAATTCGTAAGTAATTAAAAATCAAAAGATGTGAATCCCATAATTTGGAAAATACAAGACAGAACGTTTGTCCTAAAATAACAGCACAATTTATCCTCAAACTCATGCTGTTCGAAGGAGCGTTATAAAAGAGGATAATAGAAAATAAGGAGACCTACCGATTGACATTGGGTGCAGCGCTGGGCATATTTGGCCTCATAACAACCGACACAAACGACTTGGTTCTCACGAGGAATAAAGCTTTTTGCGCCAATAGGCTGGGTGCACTCGACACAGATAAAGCATTCCTCGTGCCACTGCTGGCCTCTATATTCATATTTACGCATCCCAGCCTTGAAGACAGACTGGCAGCCATCACAACGTGCCGCAAAGCGTTCGTCATAACAGTCAGAACAGTAGAGTTGCTCATCTTTTGTGGCAAACGGTCGGTCAGCTAGAGAAGTGGAGCAGGCCGAGCACTTGAAACATTTCTCATGCCAGTGACGTTCTTTGAAAGAAAGATCCTGCTCGGGCAGAAAACAACGAGGAGGCCAACAAGCAGACGGGTGAACAGAGGGACGGGAGAGGATGGATGGATCGGCCAAAGGCCAGAAGCACACGCAATAGAGAAGATTTATACGTAAATATATCGATGTATGTATATGTGTATGTATGCTACATGCGAATGCGTGCAAACGGGTGCCTTTACACGCATATAGTTCGATCAAAATCATCGGGCTACATAGTTGGCCAGCACTTACACAATTCATAATAAATGAGCATAAATGGCACCAGATAAGTACATATATAAGGCCAGCAATCGGTCACGAAAATGACCAGGTAAGAAAACAGGGATTATGAAAAGAAATGCAAGGAAATAGAGAAGTAACAACAAGAAC